AGAGACATCTTTGTGTTTCTAAATCCTGATCTCAGCAGGTAGGAAAACTTTGGTAACCTTTAGATACAAATATATTTTTAACAATATTCAATATCAATCATCTGAAAACGTTGAAAACAAAATTAAAGTACATGGAAAACACTTTTCGGATGTGCTTCTTATTTGTACATTTTATGCCAGATTAAGGCACTCGTGGCTGGTGCAAGGCATGATGAAGACTGATGTGAATTCTCCTGTTTCATGTATTACAAAAAATCGACTGCAGTTTCTGTTTTGGCCACTAAACAGTGATAGACATCAAACGCGCCAAATTAGCTTTGAAAAATTAAGGTTATTTCTGTACATTTTATTGAAATTATTTCGCCCTGAATTTTACATCCAACCCATCGTGAACCGGCTAACCTGTCAAATTCTGACCCTCATTTTGGCCCGTGAGCCAAACGTTTGTCCACCTCTGCTTTATGCTGTGCAAATTGGATTTAAAAACAAACATTTTTTTAAAGAAAAAAAAACAGCTCCAATGATTATGCATTTTTTTCCAGCCCATGTAGAAGGACATTGCCTCCCTGTCCACTTTGTCTCCTGCATTGCACTTGTTTACCCTAATGTTGACACACACACACACATACACACACCAGCACACACAGCCGCGGTGGTTACAGATGTGTGACCTTAACATCTCATTTCGCACCACAAAGCAAAAATAATGATTCTTCTTCTTCCTCTTTTTTTTATATGGTTAGTCAGACCTGTTACATAAATGTCCCTGCAGAAGTTAAGTCACGATAGAGCAATGGTTCCCAATACTGGGGACGGGGCACACCACGGGGACGCATAGCTATAAAAGGGTCCACAGTGGGGAAATTGAAACTCAGTGATGATTTTTAGTTATTTTGTTCAATGAGGGATGATAATAGTTTAGCTGCTGTGTGTCTAAATGCATCCAATGGCGTTCGAGCACACAGCAGGAAGTTGCACAGATGAACCCCGTGACCTGACCAGACGTGACCTGAAGAGGCATTAACGAACAAATATGAGGCGCAGTGTACCAACAGAAACACAAACTAACTCGATATAAATCAAGCTAAGGACGTAGCTCGGCTTCTGTCTCTGTGGGACACCGTTCACACACACGTGCACTTGTGAGTGTGTGTCAATGCACCTCAGTCTCTCAGGTGTCTCCGTGAACGGGCGGCTTTTCGTCCAATATAAAGAATAATGAATTGTAACTCATTTAGCAGCGAGAATTGTATTATTACATTTAAACTAATCACATCTGTTATCCACCAATGGGCGGAGAAGCCTCTGCTGTAGCCACGCCCTCTTTGGTGCGACCCCTCTGAGCCTTATTTAAGTATAAGATTAAAATTATTCTTTTTTTTCTGTAATGATAAAATATTACCTCATTTTTTGGTAAAGGTTAAAAATAATGGCTAAAATAAAAAAAATATTATAACTTTGGTGTATTTAAAAAAATGCTGATAATTTTCATAGATTAAGTTTAAATAACTGATTCATATTTATATTATAAATGGTTATAAATAAACGGCTCAAAAAAAGTTTGTGTCGTTCAGAGATAAAATTAAGGAGGAAAAACCCAGAAATGTCCAGGTGTAGTAAAAAAGCTCAGGACGATGGTGGGGGTAACAGTTAAAAAGGTGAGTTAACGGTCGCTAACGGCACTTAGCTGTTAGCAACCGCTAGCGGAACAAGAGAAATTTCAAATAACCAATATATTCTTTTATATATATATATATATATATATATATACAAAATGTGGCATGGGCATGGTTTTCTAGACAAAATTTTGACAAAAAGCCCATTACTGCCCCCTAGACACAAAAAAGTTTTTTTTTTAAATTTGCGATATTTGGTCTTTATTGTAACGGCCAGTTTTCATACACTCATCAGCTGATTATCAAGGTAAGACGCCCAAGCGTTGGCGCGCTCCCACACACACTCTCACGTGTGTTATCCTGTTAAAATAGCTGCGATATTTAATTCATATGAAAATCATTAAAAGTGCAGTGGTGCCGTGTCCATTATGCATTCCTTTTTCTGGCAAGGATAAAACAGTCCTCAGATGTGAGAGATGCACTTTGAAGTGTTGTCTCAGAAGCAGGCCAACTCTAACAGGAAGTCCCTGATGTTTAAAACATATCACACGAGATGGGGGGGACGAGGGGGGAGGGAGGGGTGGTGACTAACAAAGGTGAGCATTTTCGACTCACACCGGGGCGAGACAAATATGGCCGGCCTGGAATTTAGATGTGATGCTGAGAGCGGACATCAAATAAACAAGCAGCAGACAAATATACACGCGGGTGACGGCGAGGAGCGGGGAGAGCGCAAACACGCTGTGACGTGCATGTAGGGACGGCCCAACACGTGCCACGGAAAAATAAATAAAAATGCTCACTTGTCCAGCTGCTGGGAAACAGCAGTGGATATTGTCTGGTTCTTCATTATATGCAGACGATATTGAGCATCGTGCTAAGACACAGTTCTCGACGTAATGCAATCGTCGGCGATGAACACGTGCAACATCAACTGTTAGAGTGTCGTTTACACAACAGCTGAGTGGCGACGTAAGATCGCTGTGGGTTGTGATTAAAAACCGGCTCTATTAAAAAAAAACATAATCTTTACCAGCAGGAAGTAACCAGATCCCTTTAATTTGATTTCCCTTGGCTAAATGGGATCAAAGGAACCGGGAGTATTTCGTACTAACATTGCGGGCTGTAAATCCGACACGTATACAGGTGAATTTGGTCGACTTTTAATGTCAGTTGGTTCAACACATTACCATCCTCTTCTGTTGCCTCTGGCCTCTCTTTCCTCCCACCCCATGTTACATCTATACATCTTCTGAGGTCTCTCTCTCTCTCTCTCTCTCACTCTCTCTTTCCCCCGACGTCTCATAACAACTGTGTACAAGTAGATACTCAGAGATTATCCTTGATGTAAACCCCTCCTCCCCCTCCCCCTTGAACCCATCTCTCAGCACCAAAATGCCCCATTAATGGCCTGAACCACCCCCCCCCTGCACCGTAATGCCCCATTAATGGCCTGAACCACCCCCATGTACTTTTCAGCCACTTCTGGCTTTCCCATATTTTCTTTCGTACAATTCCGTTGTGTGATCTGTGGTACTCAAAGTGTGGCGTGCACCTCTATTATGTAGTATAAACATGTAAAATGTTAGACTTTTGAAAACCAAGAACAACAGAGTTTTTTTTTTAATCTTCTCTTATCTATATCCTGAAGCGGAAAGTTACACGTGCAGTACTCTTTGTGGCCATGGCACAAAACTTCAATGTCAATATGTCTGGCTGTACGCTGAGAGTCTGATGTGATTTTTAACAATTAATATCAAAATAAGAGAGTACTTCCTGTACATGGTATTTGCTGATGTATGTGAGAAGAGAGTAGAAAGTAAGGAAGTGATTTAATACGTTTAACTCTATGTGTGAGACGTGGTTCCTGATGACACCGCGGGGATGATGATTTCTTTCCTAATTGGTCGAATGACCTTGGTCGTGAACCGAATTTTCAAGAACTTCTCCACGGTGACGATAACTCTGGACAATAACGTTCGTCGATCGCTAAAGCAGAATTAAGAGGAGCGTGCGTCCTGCGTTGACCTTGACTGTGGCCTGACAGTGACGGGGGACACGGCGCCAAGAGTGTGTGAGTGTGCATCTTTATTTTAGCATATTTGCACACATCCACAGATTGCGTTTTCGTACATGTTCCAAAGCTGAAGCCACGGCTGTGGTTTTGATGGTTGGAGAGCTGTCTGAAGGAAGTGGGTGTCATGTAGATAACCTGGGAGAATGTGCTGAGCAGGGCGCGATGTTCTGCAGGCAGGAAAGTGCAGTTATCCACAAGCAGGAACTCAAATTCTGTCAAGTTGTTACAACCTCAATACACACACGCACGCACCGCAGCAAGCCCCCCCACCCCCCTAACTGCCATCTGTATTTCTGCCTCTGTCAGGCCTTTCTCAGACCCAAAAAAACACACACACACACATGTGCGAACACACACACACAGGAAACGGCCGGTGTGGCTCCTAAATAAGCTGATGTGTCATGCCTTCCTTTTCTGATATTTCTGCAAAAGCTCAGGAAGGAGGCTGCAGAACATCTCTTCTCCTTCCTCTTCTTCTCCCCTGTCTGGGTGAGACATACAGCTGTAGCCGTGACAGTTCTTGTTCTTCTGTTGAAAACCTGCAGCTCCTGCGACGGGAGACGCTGTCACTCTGGAGCGCCATGAGTCGCTGTTGCGTGGTCAAAGTGATCACTTTGACAGAGATCCAGCTTCTACAGGTAGGGAGTGTGACTGCGACGACAAGCCGGGGGATGGTGGTGGGGGGGAAGGGGGAACGGAGCCATGAATCGCTTTGAAAAAGAAATGCATCCGTGCATTTATTTGTGATTGGATGCTAGTGTCTGCGCTTCAGTGATTGCACGCTCTTACATCCAGACCGGCTGAGACGATGTCGTGTCACGTAGCTTTCTGAACCACTTTTGCATCCCACTCTCATCTGCCCCTCAAATTTCACAATCTATGGTGTGTGGTCACAGTGATTTACTGGTTAGCATGCTCAGCACAAATACATTATGCATGTCTGATCAGGGTTTTTTTTTTTTGGTTCCACTTTCATCTTATCACTACAGAACAAGGATGGGAAAATGATAATTCTGTCGTTGTGTCAGCATGTTGAAAAATACAGTGTTTTTTGGGGGGGAAGGAACGAGCGCAGCTTATTTGGTTTTGTCCACGCTTTCTTCAACGGCTCCATGTCCACATTAAACCACTGTTTCATAAGTTGCTGCATTTTTCTGAAGTGAAAGGAGAACTTGGGCAAGACTGAAAGTGTCTTTAGCAAGAGCCGAATCAGAGGCAGCTGCGAGTTTGTCCGCGTACACGGGAGGATGAGGGCAGAATGTTAGTGGATCGTAAGAAAGTGACCCATGGTTCTCAGGTAAATGCCAACACATTTCAATGACAGGGGCTTAAATGGACGCTGGACTGGAGCTCATTTGCTGCACAGCACTTTTCTTGGCAAATACAAAGATGGGCTAATGTAATTTTAACTGTCGTTGGGTCTGAAGTTTTATCCTCGTCTTGTCGTCTGGTCACGTCAGTTGAATGTTTTGTGAGTCAGAGGGAGAAAAAGAGAAGGACACAAGCAGGGCTCGTGTTTCACGGTTTTTGACATGATTGATTTTGCCGTCTGCAATTAGCATAATGTGATTAGAAGAACACAGTTGATTAGCTGATGACGCTACAGTTCAAACTTTTTTGAATGGATACAGGAAGTACAAAACTAAATGGGATGATTTATTATTTTCTTCATTCGATGGGTATGAAAGATTTTTTTCTCTTTTTTTTAAGTAGGGCGGTGTCAAATTTTGGACAAAAAGAAATAACGTCAATAAATGCTAAGGTGTTGTGAAATAAACACTGTTTTTTTTTTTGCGTTTGGATTGAAATAAAAACTAGATCAAATTGACCTTTGACCTCCACTCTGCAGGTAACTGTGAGTCTAGAGTGAAGCGTCATAATTGTCAAAACCAAACCCTCAACTTCAGCCTGGAATAATTCAATCCTAATCTGATATGTGTCTGTGTATGCCGTCCATTGATGATTTTTCGGCCGCTGCCCTTCACACATGCACAGGGCTGTCATTGTCTGACTTGGCCTTGGTGACTGAAGCGCCATTACCTCTCAAATCTAATCAGATTCCCTAAAGTGGATAACAAGCGTGTCTCCGGCATTTACAGTATAGTGAGAAAGCTGAAGTGAAACCGGGACGATCCGCTGTCACACAAAGCAGATGTGGTTGTGTATCAGTGCTGGCATCTCCGCTGCTCTCCGTAGTGGAAAAAAAATGTTGATTGGCTAACAACTGGCATCTTGTTTGGCCCCGGAGAAGACAGATAAGAGCTCCCAGTCACTGCTGACAAGTCGGGTATTGTGATGAACCGGTTCTAACTAAGGTGGATGCGTGGTGAATGTGAGCAGCGAGTCGAGCTGACGAGAAGAATTTAATGCTGAGGTTTTATAAATATAAATCCACACATCGTCGTCGTATGGTTTAACTGTGTTTTCCCAGTTGACTTTACGCACACGCAAAAAAAAAGGAAAATGGTTGACACTTAAATTGTCAAGCGGAACGCACAAGCAAAGTGCATTGACAGAAACCTAAACCATGGCTGTCTGATTGACATTCAAGACAGTTTTTTAATTATAAATTTGAGTGCCTGTGTTCAGTTAAGAAAACCAAAGCAATCAATCAAATTTGATTAAAATAAATTAAGCTTTAATTAAAATTACTCTTTAAATTAAAAATATTAGTCAAATTTAATACGAGACGTGAAGGAAAGCTAATTACATTTAACATTAATATATATATATATATATAGGAAATATATATATAAATATAGAAAATATTTGCTTAATAGAATAATAATTTGGCTTGAAAATAAAATTTACCAACATTTGGAAAAGACAAAAAAAAAGTGCATTACTGTGGCTAAAAATAGCAGCAGGCTAACCAGGACAGCTAATATCTTTATCTGAAAGGTAGAGAGAAAAGAAAGTAAAATAATAAGACTGCTCAGATAGTGATTCAACCACTGAGAAATAAATATAAGTTAGCCTATAGCTAAATGTCATTGAGCTAGAAGTCGCTACAGTGTAAAAAAAAAATGAATTTGGCTATAACCAAAAAACAAACAAAAAACAACAAAAAATATTATTATTAAAAAAACATTATAAAATTATTTAATTATTATTATTAAATTATTATTAAGCCAAAGATGTCTAAATAATAAGCTAATGTTTAGACATTCATTTAAAAACAGGTGCAAAAATGCATTGATATAAAGTGAGGGTTGAATTGGTGATAATCTCATCTAAAACAATAAGAACAACTCAGGTCAGATATTTAAAACCTTATATAAAAAAATGGCCAAAACAGTAACGCACTGGTCAAGAGGATAATTATTCATCTTAAAAAAAAGTCAAATCTTCGATGACAGGCTTAAAGAAATCTATTAAACAACTGTCAGTGGACCATGCCAAAATAATCATGTAATCATGACCCCAGTGCAGTGATTGGCCCTCAGGCCAGGTTTTGGACACGTCTTACATAATTATTAAAGATCGGAATTTTATGTTTTAATTATATTTATTCAAAGGTTTTTCCGCTGCAGGAGCCTTGACTAATCTGGCATTAGCCACAGGCTAACGGTGGCTGTGATGTACAAATATAGCTGTGGGTTGACGTGGCTGTATATTGAACATTATAGTATGGATTTCTCTGCAGCCTCTGGAGTTGACATTAAATAACTAACGTGGGTAATCCACCTCAAATTAATCTGCTAATACTTTTATTATAATAGTATTATTATACTGACATAATGAAGTATTTACATCATAGTCATTAGATACTGTAGTCACATAATCACCCTAAAGGCCATGGGCTACTGAGAGCTAACATTGAATGCCTTTGTAGGCTCCAGTAAAAAGGTGAGTTGACCCCCCCACCCCTCCCCGGGCCCCCCGCCTCCCTAAAAATAGCCTCACAGAGTAGCAAAGACCTTAAAAATATTTTTATGGCACGTATTGTTTGAGAAACCGACGCCACAAATCTGTCAACTTTAAAACAAATGGATGAATGAATGACAGCGTCATGGGTAAAACGGCATTTAAGTATAAAAAAAAAAAAAAAAGTGAACAAGGGTCAATTGTGCTGCCACAACCCCTGGAGCAGCCAGCAGAGGATGTAAGGGCTGATAGCTGATTGGCTGTGGGGACAGAAGGGGGCGGTCTCAGTGAATTAGTGATAGACACTAAAGGCAGATATCCTGCAGTGATCAAACCCTGGGTGATCTGACAGTCCAGTGTTTGAAGTGATTACCATGCTATGCAACATAAAGGCGTACCCCCGGCTTTGCGCCTAATTAGTTCACTTAGGGTCCTTATAAGAGAGTGGCGGGGCCCTGAGAAGGACAGACACTTGGTCAGAAGTCAGCAGATTAGCAGGACAGCAGCAGATCTGGATCCACGTTGACCTGCTGCGACATCCAAACAAAACCAACCCAAAGATTATTTGCTTTTCTGAGAATGCCACACTTAAGTGACTGCAGCTACTACATGATGCGGGACGCAACCAGAGCTTCAAATGTAAGAATGACTAACTTGGTCATGTTTTTTCTTTTCTTTTCTTTATTTATTTCTTTGGCTAAAGCGATATAGATATTTGTTTGACAATCCTGGCTACTGCGTGGGTGACTTCTTTATTTTCTGCCGGAAACTTGAGAGTTTTGAAATAAATGTGGGTCACAATTCTCATAAAAGATGACTCAGTTTGACTAGAACGGTTGCGTTTGACAAAACATGGTCAGTGAGTAATGAGAAAAAACAAAAAAGGAAAAAAAAAACAGCGCTGAAAGACACTCAACTTCTCGCCTCCTGAAATCAGACCAACTCACTGCTTCCGTGACTTCTCCCGCAGGTACAAAGCCACCTGGAGAACTCCAAGTTCCACCTCCACCAGGGCCAGGGTCAGCAGGTCAAGCAGTACCTGACGCTGGGCTCCAAGCTGGCCTCGTCGGCCGGCCAGGGCCACAGCGTGTCTCACCCGCACACCCCGGGCCAGCCGCTGGCCACCATGCCCGTCCTCAGGAACGGCAGGCTGCCCCCCCTGAGCCACGGCCGCCACCCCCCCCGCCC